CTTGTGTGTGTGTGTGTGTGTGTGTGTGTGTGTCTGGGGGGGGGGGTTACAAAACTGAATGAGGAATTCCAGTTGCCGAGAGTTCATGTGCCTCTCTGTTGACAGGAACCAACATAGTGGACGTCAGGCAGCAGGTTCTCCAGGCCAGTCCATGCTGTCAGAGCCCATGTCGAACCTCGCCATGGCTTATGGCAGCTCACTAGCAACTCAGGGGAAGGAAATGATGGATAAGAATGTAAGGTTGACTCCAAAAATGTTTGTCTTGCATTGTTAAGAAGGAAACATTGGTGTGGGGGGAAAAAAAATGCATGTTTATGCATTGTAGCTGGACAGATTCATCCCCATTTCCAAGCTGAAATACTACTTTGCTGTGGACACTTTATACGTGGGAAAGAAGCTGGGTCTTCTAGTTTTCCCCTACATGCATGAGGTAGGTGGGCTAAATTTAAAGCTTCCTATTCTTAGGGCTGCTCCCTAGCTGGTTCTGGTTCCTTCTGTGACCTCATAAAGTGTGGAGATTTGAATTAACGGCCTGCGGATCTGCATTTGCTTGAAATATTTTCATGCAAACAGGGATCGAGTGTCCCGTTTGCGTTTGACCTCACCAATAAGGATTTAATTTTTTTTTTTTTTTTTTTTCTGCAATGAGAATCTGTTGCGTCATGTTGACAATCCCAATCCACATGTTGGCAGAACTGGGAAGTGAGCTACCAGCAGGACACTCCCGTGGCCCCGCGCTTTGACGTCAACGCTCCCGATCTGTACATCCCCGCCATGGGTTTCATCACGTACGTGCTGGTGGCTGGGCTGGCCCTGGGCACACAAAACAGGTACATGTGAACGTATACTGTCCCTTCATTGGGTGATTTTCAGTGGCACTAAACTATGAAAGAAGGTGTGTCATTTTCCCACAGGCAAACACACTGTACATTAAGGAAATTTTGAGCCAAACCGCTTCCCACTTGATTGATTCCGATTCCTGTTCCTGTTTTTGTGGCCCCTCAGGTTTACTCCCGAGCTGCTGGGGGTTCACGCAAGCTCGGCGCTGGTGTGGCTCATCATGGAAGTCTTGGCAGTTCTCCTGTCACTCTACCTCGTCACCGTTAGCACCGACCTCACAACCATCGACCTGCTCGCTTTTGCTGGGTACAAATATGTCGGGTATGTGCACATTCGTGTTCTATTTTGCTTTTGTAACAGTAGTTAGCAGGCCTTTAGTTTTGTGTTTTAAGTATGACGCGAAAGAAACTTGAGGTCATAGTATAAATCCATTTTTTGTAGCACTTGCTCATAAATGGCACGTTGGGGCCTATCACAGCTGACATTGGGCAAGAGGTGGTGTACACTTACATTAACACCCAGTTTAGGCTTCATTTAATCGAATGCATTTTTGAAATGTCGTGGTCTGAATTACGTGTGTGGTTGTGTGTCCTTTCCTCAGAATGATCGTTGGTTTAGTAGCAGGACTCATGTTTGGGAGGCCAGCTTACTATCTCTCTTTACTGTGGTGCTGTGCTGCCATTTTTGTGTTCATGGTGAGTCGCCCTGAATGCTACCTCGTAGCACTGCTGTCGATAAATTATGAATACATATTTGACTGAAATACAAGATAATAAATCTGACAACAAAATACACTGGACAGCTCCTCTGCTCCTAATAATAAATGCAACAAAGATAGCAAGCCTGACTTGATGATGCACTCGTTCGTCAATGCATTTCTGACTGATCTCGTTATTAATCATGTCCATACTCATCGTTTTGGAACGCTAAATTTATCCCAGTCAACTATTTTGACTGTGTTTTTCAGAGACAAATGGCACATGCCGAACGAGAGTTCATTATCAAACACTGTCGTTAAAACATTCTAGCGCACTGATTTAATGCCAATTTTAAACTGTGGTTCCCCGTGAGGATGTGATCAGTGGTGCCTTAGGGTGGAGCACAGAAGCGAGATTGCTCCTGCAATGCTCAAGCCAGTAAACAACACAAGATGTGTCAGATGAATGCTACAAATGTGTGTATTGGTTGTTCCTGCGTTGCATTTCCTCACTTTACCAAACTAACCCTTGTTAACTTGGCGCAGAAAAAACAGCATTGGATTGGATACAACTTTACTGTCAAATGTGCTGTACAGCACAGATGAAATTTCTTCCCTCTCAAGACAACATAAAACAAGAGGAGCTGCTGCGGGTGTCCGCGCCGCCATAATGACAAAATAATACAAACCAACACATGAGACACAGACAATCGTGCAATCTTAACCACTTTCCTGCATACACTTTGTTGTCTGAAGCAGTTATAGATGAAAGAGGAGCGAATCAAAGTATCCTTTTCACCTGTGGATCAAAGACGTCATGCTGCAATGTGCACACGTCTGCTACAAGCTAAGCTTGTTCTCTTGTTCTCTTCTCTTCATCCAGAGCCTAATGTACGTCTACGAAATAGTTCCGTGGATGGTTCGGATGGCAGCCAGTTGTTTGAGGACACAAGTGGCTGTGGTTCGCAGACACCCCACCACAGGTGAGGCCCACCAGACAGGCTCAACATTAATAT